ACACCGCTCTTTACAGGAAAGACGAACCTCAAGAAGTGGAAGCACGTCCCTGTCTTCAACACGTTGCATGACAAACCTTAACAGTTCCTGGAGTGAATCTACGTGAGTGAATCAACCAGAAACGAAGAAAACTCATGATTATTACCGGCAACGCTGGGGACAGACCACTAATGGGATGCACATCAATTGTTTTCATGAAGTCGTGTCCCTGTTTCAAGAAATAAGCCAATCAAAATGAGAGCACACAGAGCTATTACCTCTGAAGAGTAACCCATGCATGTTGAGATGGCGGACTCTAGATCTGCACCTGAGTGAACCGCCTACACAGTAAAAACGGAATCAGGTAGCTACTCAAATGCAGCCTGCAACGCACCTTCAAACTCCTCATATACGCTTTCAAGTCTCGAAGTAAACCATCCTTTTGGTCTGGTCTTAGCCTTGGTTCTGAGACAATCGGTCGGTCGTAGCTTGCCAGCCGTTCTTTTGTGACTCCGTTGTCGTTCAAGGTTTTCCAGTACACATCAATATTAAAATCACTTGAGATGTAGTCCAAGAGAGCCTACAGAAAAAATTCGTTGTTCAAACATATAAAATTTTTCTGATAAGGCACTTACCTGGCAAATAACAACATCGTCAGGACTAGTATTATTGTGCAACTTTTGATGCCATTCTTCCATCATACCGCCTTTGCAATCGTTATTCCGCTGCATTTTAGACTATTTCAGCACGCAAACAAAGACAATATCAACTCTACCTGTATAACTAATATTTCATCCCGAATCCGTTGGCCAACGTCCCCTTGTGCACCTCTTCCCACGGTGCTTAAAGTTAGTCGGACAAGCTCCCGATTATGGGGCTGCTCCACGTAGATTGCCTGAAGTAAGTCTGTTAGTCGGTCTTGAGCAGCGCTGATTTCACTGCAGCCAATTATATAGTGCATAAGCATATTGTTATTTGGAAATTGTGTACTAACCGAGGCTTCACATTGTAGTTTTTATTCCAAGTCAGTTGGCGCATGGCCATGTAACGCAGCCAAACAAGAAATCCCGCAAGTACAAGTTCTCCGCCATCTTTTGAGCGCTGCAACAAATCTGCCATTATATTGTACCTATAGGAAACTATAAAAATTATGAACAGCAAAAACTTCGAAAGCGGAGGATAGAACCTGTGCATCAGCGAACGTTCCGCCTCACTTTCCAAGCTGGCCATCTCATCTAGCAACCACTTCGCAGTTCCTGAACCATCTAGCTTTCCCTGGAAGAGAGAAAGAACACTAGCTTTCAGGATTAAAATTACGATGTACAAAGCTACCTTTGCTTCCTTCTTCTCGGATGGTTGAAGAGGGATATAGAAGTCCGAATCATTAAGTTTAATCCAGTTGCTTCCCGCTCTTACAACGAACGGCATTCCAAGGAATTTTCCTTTCCCAAGATCGATTTCCAAGGACTATAACACAAGCGTGAGCAAAAATTGACGATTGAGCAAACTTATTAAGGAACAAAACAAATGCTGCATTACCTGCAAAGACGTGTCACCGCCAAATTCTCCTTCGCAAGGCGAATCTACTGCTTCTTTCATGTCTTCAGATCCAGGAGGATGTAACTCTGCTGGCGGCCTCTGCATTTACCCAGAAGGTAACTTGAAATCTGGCAAAAGTTTTACCTTCCACTCTCTTGGATTATCTTGCGATAATGACCAGTGAATAGCCACAGGCTCCTCAAAGTCAGTCGCAATAGTCACACGAACATTTCCATCAACCTTGGTCGCAATAGTCTATTCTACATGCACCACAATTTTCTCATCAATAACAAGGTAAGGAAAACTTGACGACCTTACCATAAGCTCTTTGTTGCCCAGCTTAAATACTTTTTTGAAAAGAACAGCATCACCCGCTTCTTCCGCCATTTGTGACAATGCCGACTCCAATTTACTAGTTTCTCGAGGTGTTGCAGATACAGGTGTACTCTCTTCAGTTTTACCTGTATACTTGTTAATAAGCTTTCCAAAATCCCTTTGCTTCCTTGAAATCCTGCCCCCGGATCCCCTTGAAGCCGGTTTTGGTGGAGCCGAGTTGCTTCCCTTCAGCTTTGCTCGAACACTCTCGATAGTTGCACCATTAGCAACCTCTTCCTGAAGTTTCTTGCGCGCATCCTCGTATTCTGACTGACATCAACAGAGCATGTTTTACGGCTGATTTTCCAAACAAGCACGAGGCATTCATCTACCTTCTCTTGTTCAGGTGTGTAGTTTTTTTTCCCTTTTTTTTCCCAATTAATAAATGCTTGAAGGGCAATGAGGTCTTCTGGTATATATACCTGTGAGTGAGGAATGTCCAGTCGGAAATTCTTGCCATTGAGCTTGAACCTGCACAAATCAGAACGTAGATTTCCTTAGAAAAAGTTAAAGTCTGCTGAGATTCACCATCTGTCAGTGGCATCATCCCGCAACAAAAACTCGATCGTCTTCAATTCTTTGTCGGGTACTTCAACCTTTAATGTGTTGACATCACCAGACTGCGAGTGGTGATCAAAAACATTCCTTTAACAACAGACTCAGCCACAAAGTTTAGGCTCACCGTAACAAAAGGCGACTGCAACGCAGTATTATTGAAATCCCGTGTTCCAGGTGGTCGATGCGACGGAAGCCTCCACTTTCTACACGTGAACCCCACAGCAAACATGTGAGAAATATAACGAGGCAAAACGAAACACGGCAGAACTCACGCATCATTTGCTTTAAGCGCGCCCCAGTGAAGAAAGAGAGATGTGGTATGGGTGTTGTGAACTTGAAACTCGACATAAGCTGGGCCGCCATCCTTTGGCACACCCGTTTTAATCTGGAATGAGCTGAAAAGAATGAGAGAGAAGGAGAGAGAACCTTGCGTGCTTACCTTTAAAATGCCACCACCATCAAGATTGAAATCTTGAGAGATCTAAAAGAAAGAACACAAACAGGAAAAGGGAAGAAAGAAATCCATCGTTGGAACTGACCAGGAGCAAAGGTTTAAGTACCTCTGAAGCAGCCTGTGGAACAAAAATGGTAGCTCTCTTTCTTCCGGAATCTTTAAGCCTCCTGGAATTGGGGCTGGCTCCAAACATCTTGGACAAAAATAAATCATCGCGCGTGCGAGATAGCATAATCCGCGAGGACTGGATCCGGCAAGCGCATTGCCGCGGATTGATCGATCTCAACGCCACAAGCGTCTGATCACTGAAAATGCGGCACGAAACGCAGCTCGTCTGGAGGAAACCGTAACACTGCATTCTGGATTTCCGAGAAAGACGAGGGATTCTTGTCACCGCGGCATCGCTCTAACAGCTGAATCCCGATCGATTCTATCTCATCCGAGCAGATCAAAGATACCTGGGTTGATCGCGGCGACAATGCGATGACGCAGCAAGTCCGTCCCCGACCGCGAGATCCCCCAAGCTATGGCGCTAGAGAAGATCCCAAATAAGGCCACCCTTACAGCCACAGAATCCCACGGAATCCTCTCAATCAGAGTTTGCCACGCAAATTTTCATTCTTTAATCAGAAAACACCACGTGGACAAATAAGAAACCGTGGTGTCTAATCAGTCGTGGGGTCGAATCTCAGAAGTGCCCATCGTGGCCTGGAGGCTAGCACATAAATATACTTATGCTGTTAGACTTTATATCTCCTCTCTTCAATTTCTCTTTGGATTGATCGATCATGCCTTGCGATGAGGAGGACGAGAACGAAGATCTCAACCATTGTGTCGCGACGATTCTCGCAATTGGCACCGCTACTCCGGAGGAATTCGTGCTGCAGAGCGATTACCCGGATTTCTTCTTCCGGATCACAGAGTCAGAGAATCTGGTGGAGCTCAAGGAGAAATTCAAGAGGATCTGTGAGTAGTTTTCCTGCGCCAATTGAGAAATGTGGTATCCATCCCATCCAACATTTGTGTTGTTCTTCGAATTCATAGGTGACAAGTCGGGAATCCAGAAGCGCCACCTCCATCTCACCGAATCGATCCTCGCGGGAAATCCAGAGCTTTGCAAAGATAGCAGCGAGACATCCTCTCTTCTGGCCAGGCAATCCATCTCCAATGCCGAAGTGGCCGCATTAGGCGCCCGGGCCGCCAAGAAAGCTCTCCAGGAAGGTGGACATTCCGCGGCGGAAATCACCCACCTGATCGTGGCCACATCCAACGGCATCCGCATGCCCGGCCCTGACCTGGCCATCGCCAAGATTCTGGGCCTCCGCCACGACGTCCGTCGATTGATGCTCAATCAGGTAGGCTGTTACGCCGGCGGAACCGCTCTCAGAATCGCCAAGGAGATGGCGGAGAGCGGCGGAATCTCGACACGTGTTCTCATCGTGTGCAGCGAAGTTGGGGCCTTCACATTCCGGCCGCCCAACGAGAAGCATCCCGACAGGCTTGTTGGCTCCGCCATCGTGGGTGACGGCGCCGCGTCACTCGTGGTGGGCTGTCGGGATCCCAGGCTCGATTCCAGCCCCGGGCAGCTCCTCGAGCTCCATTGGGCCGGCCAGTTCTTCGTCCCAGACAGTGAGGACGATCTCACCGCTACCCTAAGCGAGCAGGGATTGATCTACTTTCTCTCCAAGCACGTCCCAGACCTAATCTCCAGTAGCGTCCGCGAATTGCTGCCCACCGCGCTCGCGGCATCCTCCAAGACGAGGGATTTGGCTCCGAATGATCTCTTCTGGCGATCCATCCGGGAGGGCGAGCGGTACTGGATCAAATCGAAACGAAGCTAGGGCTACGCAGTGACAAGCTCCGCGCGACAAGGGAGACACTGGCATCGTACGGCAATATGTCCAGTCCCACAGTCTTGTTCGTGCTCGAGGAAATCGTACGCCAGAGCTCGCGTAGCGGCGAATGGGGCGTGTTGCTCTCCTTTGGCCCGGGGCTCACAATAGAAATACAGCTCCTAAGGCGCTGCTAGCCAAAAACCCTATTATTTTGAAATTTGGCGCGAAAACCCTAATTTGAATTTGCCCCCAAATTGCCCGATTTTTAGGGTTCTTGAGTGAGTAGACGAGGATCATGACGGATTTCTTCCCGCTCAACACCGGTGCAAGGATTCCCGCGGTTGGGCTTGGAACCTGGGAGGCCGATGGCGAGGCGTGCACAAGAGCAGTGAGGTTTGCGGCGCTGGAGGCTGGATACAGGCACATAGATTGCTCGCATTTGTATGGTAATGAGATCCAGGTAGGCCTTGCCTTGAGGGAGATCCTTGGAGATGGAGGAGGGATCAAGCGCGAGGATCTCTTCCTGACCTCCAAGCTGTGGTTCACTGCCAAGACCCCACGGCATGTTGAGACGTGCGTGGATGCGTCGCTTAGGAACTTGGGGCTAGATTATCTGGATCTCTACTTGCTCCATTGGCCGACTCCAGCCCCGATGGGAGACGCTACCGATCCACCTCCAGCTGCTGCCTTGGAGCACCGGGAAGAGGTTAGACAGATCAAAGATTCGTGGCAAGCCATGGAAGCTTTGCTTGCCACGAACAAAGTTCGAGCTATAGGTGTGAGCAACTTTGGGATCTCACAGCTTCAAGAGCTTTTGGGCTCTTGTCTCATAGTTCCAGCAGTAAACCAGGTATGGATGGGTCGTTTGTTTTCTTCTTCAAGGCTTCTCTAAAGCTTTTGTCACTTCATTGGATTTTTTAGGTGGAGTTACATCCTTTTTGGAGGCAAGACGATCTGGTGGAGTTCTGCAAGAGGAAAGGAATCCATGTCTCGGCCCACACACCGCTCGGGATTCCGGGCACCAACATTGGAAGTTTGCAACTCCCGAGTAACGGTGAGAGCTCCAACGCCGAAGGAAAGACGTTCTTAAGAACCAAATCCGTGAACAGTCCAATGCTCAAAGCTTCTGTAGTTGCAGCCATCGCTGAAGAACTCGGGAAAACTCCAGCACAGGTACGAGTTTGTGTCTTGTTTCGTCACTAGTTTTCTCAAGTATTGGTGCACTTGCAGGTGATACTGCGATGGGGATTGCAAAGAGGGACGAGTGTTCTTCCTCGGAGCTTGACACCCGAAAGGATCAAGCTCAACATCGACATCCTGGATTGGTGTTTGGCTGACGATGATTGGAAGGCCATCAATGCCATGGAACCACAGGTTCGTCTTATCAACAGCACTTTCTCTTACCTCTCAGAGAACGCCCCACTCCAAGCTGTGAAAGAAGACGAAGTAGAGCAGGCAGAAAACATATAGGTGGAAACGAGAAACATAAAAACATTGTAAATTTGGTGTGTCTGTTGCTTTGCTCAAACAGAAATATATTCCCCAACCTTGGATTTGGGTGTTTGCTTGAAAAGGTTATACACAACATTGCATAGGCCTTGTCTTGTGAAAAAGAAAATTGATAATTCTACAGTTATTTCGACTCGTCGCCGATAATTCTACAGTCATTTTGACTCGTCTTGTGAAAAAGGAAGCCGATAATTCTACAGTTATTTCGACTTGAGGAAGAAGGTGGCGAGTTTTCCTCTAGAGAATGTAGACGGCATAATGACATTAGTACAAGATCTGAAGTTTGAATTTATTCTCTAGACCGTATAATGACACTAGTACAAGATCTGAAGTTTGAATTTTCATTCTTTATTTATTTGAAAGTTTCTATGTTTTAGTTTTACTTTTTTCTATTTTACTACAACAACTGTTTCTATAACATCTGGACTTCTTGCAGCCATAACAATTTTGAAAACAACATCTTCCAAGATCTCGCAAGGCTCTTCCAGGCTCATCAGTCTTGCATCTTCATCAGACAAATTTGATTTTGGATCATCAAGATTAAGTCTACCATAATATGGAGTATTGTGTGTGTCATAATCCTGTTGAAAGACTTCTTGTGCTGTTAGCTTTGAATTGCACTCTTGGCCCATTTGTATTCAAACTTGATCAAGTCTTGAATCCCTTAAATGAATCAAGTTGTCCTTTGGAAGGATATCAATTGCCAGAAACAATTTAGCCATCGCATCTTTCACATCCTTGTCCATATCCACTCTCAAAGTAGCGCTCACAAATATCCACTCTCAAAGTAGTGCTCACAAACATGAGAGGGAGAAAGAAGATGGCAACCTTCATTGTGCTTCTATTGGTCTTTAAGAAAGTTATCTTATATATTTATTTGATATTGTTTGGGAGTTTTAAGAATATTCTTAGCATATTATTTTTAATCTTATAGTCAATATTCTTTATTGATTGCTTAAACTTCCAACCCAATTCTACAGTTGAATCAAATAAATCTGGAATTAAGAGTGGTGGTGGCAATGGCAAAAGACTGCTCTGCGAGCTCACGGAAATTGTCTCCTTGTCTCTCCCCAAATTCTTGTGCTAGCAGTACCTCGTCCATGGACGCCGCCTCTCTTCCTCCGCACCTCCACCGTCTCTTTCCACAGCTTAAAGCTCATGGACTGCGCCCGCCGTGGCTGCCAACAATTCTACCGAAGTCCATGAGCTCGTGAGAGAGATCAGAACTTTAGCCTCACCTCTGTTGCGTTTAGTGGAGAAGGCTGTCCGGATGTACGCTGCGATGCACCAGGACGTGACGAGGATGCAGAGTATCTCCATCCGGATGAACCTTCCCAGCCTCCGGGCCATGGAGCGCTTCACCAACCAGATGATCCTGCCAAGCGCGTCCACATAATTGACTATGGGGTCCTCTATGGCGATCAGTGGCCGTCGCTCATCAAGGCGCTGTCCGAGAGAGCCGAGGGGCTGCCACTATTCAAGATCACCGGCATTAACTTCCCGTCCCGTGTCAACCTCGAGAAAACCGGCTGGTCGACTACGTGTGGGATGCACCTCGAGTTGCACTCCATCGCCACCGTGGCATGGGAGTCAGCGCAGCCGAGATATCATCCTTTGGATGTGGCACGTCTGCGAGGACGGGATCATCGACAGCCCCGGAAGCTCTTCTTCGAGAAGATCCTCAGCTTCAAGCCTGTTATGTTGTTCCAGTCCGTGGTGCACGCTGACATAAGCAGTCGCAGCTTGACTTCATGGATATGTGGAGCGCATCTCCTCGTGCAAAACCTGGGACCGCCTGGCTCGGAAGCGCTCGAGATGGTCATGGCCATTTGCGAGAACTTGACTTGCTGAATGGACGAGAAAGACGTAGTTTTGAATGCTTTGAGCGTCTGGAAGCCGATTGAGAAGCTAGCGCGCTTCAAACACCAGTCATCCACCCTGTGCCTGTAACCAGCTACATTCTTTCTTTAACTTCTTTGTTCCTGCTCGTGCAGGCGCCACTCACTTTCTCGTAAATCTCCTCCGTCACTGCCACCCCTTCGAAGCCTGCTCGCTTCACCCGAGCATCCCAGATGTGATACGTGTCCACTAGCCCTTCACACGCGACGATGGTCATGATGTCTCTTGCTGCCAGCGTTTGGATATACCCGCTTCCGGGTTTGTTTCCTTCTGCATCAAATGGATCAAATAAGAAACCCCACGTTGCTTTGAGTCAACTTATAAACGAATACAAGTCTTAGTTCTGGCTAATCGTCAACTTCACCAAACCTTAACATGAAAACAACTTCCTCGAATACTTGTCCTCTATAGCCATTCGCCACGTCTCTTCAGGCCTTGACCTCTCACAACTACGTAGAAAACCAACACCATTGAAGCTTTTAGATCGAGAACAAGTGAACTATTATTACCTTGTGCTTGAGGCTGCTGATAAGTGCGCACAGCAGGCCTCACGTCGTCGAGCTGTGCCAGAGACTGCAACACAGGAAGTAGCTTGAGAAGCTCGTCGTCGCTCCTCTGCCCAGTGAACTTCCCAATCACAATCTCGTTGCCACTCCCAGGTTGGCAAAAGAAGCCAGGGTCGTCGTCCACCAGCACAACCTTGCGCAAGTCCCTGCCGAGGATGGCCAGATCCTTGAACAGCGCCTCCTTGCCGAGCGGGTGTCGTGCCACAGCGTGCAATCACTCAGACCAAGAACGTATCGGAAGCGAGTCCCGCGAGGATCGAGCTGCGTAGGGGGCCGAGCTGAAGAGCACAACCTCGGCAAACAGCGCCAGGGCGTCCAGAAACTCGTCGAGATGCGCTCGCTTCTTGATGCACTTGCGACTGCCATTATCTCTCACCTCGAAATCACACTGGCTCCGACGGTGCAGCAGAATTGACGTGGAGGAGACGAGTGTGTTGTCCAGAGCCAGCGCAACCGTCATCCTCCCCTCGAGCACAGCGTCCTGCGGCGGCAGGAGCGTATTCCTTGCGCAGAGGTGCTCTACCACCATTCCGTAGGTCTTGCATGATCCAGCCTGAGTAACCAATGATGGCAGACTTTTCAAGCGCTGCTCGTGGTTGCTTAGCTCGAGCTTTGTATAAAAGAGTGATAAAAAGTTATGAAAAAAAATTATTCATGAAACTTAACTATTTTTAGCAAAAAGTAAATTTCTACAAGTTTTATTATGAAATATATGTGATGACATCACAAAACTAATTCAGAAAGTAATTTCTATAAAAGTTATAATATATTTTTAGATTCATTACAATTATATTCTTTTATCACGTTATTATACCATTGTCTCCTCAATTCATTTAAATGTTAGTACATTCTATTCTTTTTTTGTTTTCCCCACTAACTCTTGTTACTTATTGATGCAATGTTTATATAGAACTTGGAAATAATTTAAATTCGGAGATACTAAACAGTATGTGTAAGGATCTTTATAATGGATATTAATTTTGAATTTTCTTTTCTTTTCAAAAAGAGACATTTAGAGGAAATTATTACATGGTATTATTGCATTGCACAACAGCTAATTATTGATAACTACAATATGGAATCTAACACATTTGGGCTTTTTCATACTTAGTTTGTCAAAAAGAAAACAACACCTCATCCAAATTAATTGCATTATAGTGTAGCTTTTATTTTGTAATTCTAAAACACAATAATAAAGTGGTGGTGAAAATGCCATAGCCTTTAGCCGTGGCATACAACACTCTCATAGTCATTCATATGGATTTTAAAGGCATAAGAAAATGTCAATTAGATTTTAGACAATTTATTTACAAACATATATATATGAGTTTAATTATATTTAAAATTCTTTACAATTATTTCTAATAGATAAATTTACAACGTTCAAAAACCATAATATTCCTGAAGAGATTATTACTATGTTTCTAGACCATCTTCCCAACTTAAGAGGCATGATGTCATATTTATAAATAAACCCAAGATCTAATTCTTGCAATAGTAGGATGACTTTTTTGTTAATTATAATTGACTAAATTTTCTATTCTACTTTATTCAATTAACCACACTTTAAATTACTTGAAAGAGTTCCACTCATAATCTCTATAGATTTTCATCCCAATTTGGGTTACTTACTAACTCTTATAAGTGATCTCAAGGTTATTTTAATTTTGACTATTTTATTGATAGTAAAAAACTATATGCCACAATCCCATTTCTTCAAGACTAAATATTTCATTCATGAATGATTATACTATGACTAATTATTAACATCCTTAAAATGCCCCAAAACATAAGGAATAACATTCTCCAATATCCTTTATTCAATCCCCACTAAATCCTTAATCCATAGTAGTACTCGCTAACATCATGACCACTAAGTCCTACTAATCTTTAAAACTTATTACACAATGTAACTATACTTTTAGTTATTAAGAAAAAATGTCACTCCTCTTCCTTTTTATTGTTAAGGACTTTATAATGACATTTCAAAATACTATGGCTAAACATAAATTGTCTAAGTACTCTAGCCCCAACTATATAGCTAAATCAAGGTTCTAATGAACCACACAAAATATTTAAGTAAGTAGTGCAGCCTATACTTAAATTGGAAATATTGACCATTCGATTTCTTAAAGGATCTAAAACTAACTTTTAAATACTTCACCAAGTCACATTTTTTGTTTATCCATATTTATTATAATCTTAAACTCCCTAATGTTTATATTATCATCCACCACATGAGTATATCCTTTTGTTACACTAGCTTTTTTGGCCCACACTAATTTTCTTGTAGTCCTCCTCCTACTATTTTGTAAGGACTCACTAAATCCTCTAAAGTCTAGGAGATGATTACTTTGGGCTTTCACCTATTGGATTTGGTCTCAATTTTAGTCTTAGTTTTGGTCTCAATCTCAATTTTAATTTTGAACTTAATTTTAGACTTAATGTTAGATTTGATCTTGGACTTAATCCTAGACTCAATCTCAACACTTCTACATATTATAACATTTGCCATATGTCAATCCTTCTTCTTCTTTTTTTCCTTTTCTAGAGACTCATTCATTAATTACTTGATGCTTGTTTCTCAAACCCTTTTTTA